ATTTTCAAGGGCGGGCGGTGCTGTGCGGGATTGAATGTGTTGATTCTCGTCTGTAAGTACCTTGGATCTTCTTGGAGCGGTAACATCGCCAATTTGATTTGACGGATTTTGGTTATTCCCGTCAAATCAGCAGTGCTAGTAAACTCAGCTGCAGAACGTGTTAGTAGTACCGTCACTGCTATAAATAAATTCCCTTTATGATTCTAACAACTAAACTAATTCTAAAACTAGTATAGAGGCAAGTATCGGGGTATTGCATCCACTTACCCAAGAATTGGGTACTTAGTTACAAACGGGAAACAATGATGATAAAGGATGATGTCGTTTATGAAGGGATTTATGAATTGTAGGAGTTTGATTGTTTGAGAGTAACTATGACTGAAATAATGTAAGTGCAAGTAAAGTAAAGCAGGCAAGATAAAATATAGGTTGTGAATATAGAAAAAAATGCGGGGTATTACATCGTTTCATAAGCAAGTGTCCAAATTAACTACTCATGCTTGTTTCCCATGCATCCAACTATAACTCATAGACAAAGCAATAATTGGTAGTGAGTTCCCTTGCTCTCGACCCAAGAACTCGAACTCAAGTAGTATTCAAGACCTAGTACCTCTCATCTCGATGCCATCATGGAAGTAGTGAATTTCAACTCTTTATACTATTTGTTAACTATTTTCTCTCTCTCGATGCCAAGATATGCAAACGGGCGTATGAGGCTCGAAAGTATTTACACATGCATAAAGATCACTCTTTTATTTATTATGAAGAACAAAGAGCAAAAACTATTCTACGTGATCAATCATAAAATAATTACCTTTCTAGCATGGCAAACATGGAACACTTGTAGTAAATTCTTCTACTTACCTAATCCACTTATAAAACCCCATGAATCGATCAGCTCATGATGATTGTGGTGATGATGATAATGGTTGTAGATGTAAAAGACATAATTAAAAGACAAAAATATAAAGATGAAAGATTAAATTGCATGAAAAGTAAAGATACGATAGAAAAGTAAAGAACTTGAACTTGAAAAGTAAATGGACTTGTATTATAATCAATGGAACTTCTTCTTCAACATAAAATAATGTAAAACCCTAATGATACTTCAATTTAAGATCAAATCATAATGAATTTCGTGGCTCTCCTCTCTTTATATAGGGAGGAGTTCTTCTAACCCTAGAACTCCTTGAAAATTGCTAGAAAATAGTTTGTAATTTATTAGATAAGTTGTATGAAGCTTCTGGAGCAAAAATTTGGTGGAGATCTTAGTCAAACCACGTGGAAGAATCAGTCAAAATCTTAGGTCGAAATTCATTCTCGAAACATGACTTCCAAGAAGCCCAAGAGGCCCAAAAACAATCAATAGAAACTGGGTCTGACAGGTTTTGACGAGTCTTTTTGTCATGATTCCATCTCTGTCTTCTGTGATCAATCTTGACAGTCATGAAATAGGAAATGAGATCTTTCCAATGCCTATTTGTGCTTCAAAATTCGAGCTCCCTAACCCTTTCGTTTAATTGCGTCAAGTTGGCTACTTGAAACTGCATTTTAACGCATTTTTCTTCCTTTTAGCTTTTTCGGGCGAAATGCACCTACAAACACGTAATCTTAACAATACCAAGCATATCAGATAGCTAAGAACCAGAGAAAATATTTGCAAAAGTATTTACACAAAAGGATGTTAATATACATACATTTGGAAACTTGCAACAAGAACACCTAGGTTATATACTACTGGGAATGACAAGCCCAACTTTTGTGTTGGGATGTGATGAAGGTTGAAAAGAGGGAAAAAAAATATGCATCTGCAACAACATCTCTATCTGGTTCCAAGAGAGCCACTTCAAATACAAATAGAGAGGAGCAAACTTTCTTGAAATTTGTACGAGTCATCATCATGATCTAGAGGTCTGAAAAAGTTATGGTACAAAAATATTTTAGTAAACCAAACAAGTGAAGGTAATAATACTATCCAAAGTCCCTAAGAGACACATGATGAATTGTGAATGACTGTTTCCACTAAAAGCGATAGCAACATTTTATAAGATTAATTAAGTGATAGCAACATTTTATAAATCTCTATTATTCTTACCCTTACTCACATAATTTCTACTTTTACTCAAAAGATTTCTCCTCTGAGTTTCTATCTCGAATCTAGGTTTTCTCTTTATCTCTCTTGTAAATGTTATATCTTGTGAATTGTGACAAACAAGGGCAAAACGAATATTGCACATGTGATGTATTCTTATGAGTCCCTGTATAAGGTTTAGTTTTTGGTGTACAAGTGTACGGAAGACTTCGGAGCTGAAGACATCAAGAATGGACGCGATCGGCGACAACCGAGCACAACCGGGCAAAAACCGAGTCAAGCAGGCAAGTCAAGCAGGCAGCTGTTTTACACTGGAGTCGACTGAAGTTATTTCTAGAAATGACAGCCTATGCGACTGACCCTTTGATGGGTAGTATGAGTTGTTGGTCAGTCGACTGACATACAATGGCAAAAATGGTAAATAAGCTGTCACTCGACTGATGATAAGCGCTCAAAAGTATAAATATATCCTCTTAACTCATGTATATTTGTCTCAAGTTATGATATAAAGTGATATGATATGCATGGTATTGTTAGAATTACGTGTTTGTAGGTGCATTTCGCCCGGAAAAGCTAAAAGAAAGCAAAATGCAGTAAAAAGGCAGTTTCAAGTAGCCAACTTGACACACTTAAACGAAAGGGTTAGAAAGCTCGGATTTTGAAGTACAAATAGGCATTGGAAAGCTCTCACTTCCTACTTCAAGGCTGTCAAGATAGATCACAGAAAACAAAGGTGAAATCTGGACAAAAAGACTCCTCAAAACCGGCTAGACCTAGTTTCTAAAGACAGTTTTTGGGCCTCTTGGGCTTCTTGGAAGTCGTGTTTCAAGAAGAAATTTGGACCCCAAGATTTTGACTAAGTCTTCCACGTTGATTGACCAAGATTTCCACCAAATTTCAGCTCCAGAAGCTTCCTACAAGTTATCTAACAAAATACAAACTCTTTTCTAGCAATTTTTAAGGAATTCTAGGGTTAGAAGGACTCCTCCCTATATAAGGAGAGGAGAGCCACGAAATTCATTATGCTTTAATCTTAAATTGAAGTATCATTAGGTTTTTACATTATTTTATGTTGAAGAAGAAGTTCTATTTATTTTAATACATGTCTATTTACTTTTCAAGTTCAAGTTCTTCATATTTTTATCGTATCTTTACTTTTCATGCAATTTAATATTTTGCCTTTACATACTTGTCTTTTAATTATGTCTTTTACGTTTACAACTATCATCATCATCACCATGAGCTAATCGATTCATGGGGTTTTACAAGTGGATTAAGTAAGTATAAGAATTTACTACAAGTGTTCCATGTTTGCCATGCTAGAAAGGTAATTATTTAATGATTGATCACGTAGAATAGTTTTTGCTTTTTATTCTTCATAATAAATAAAAGAGAGATCTTTTTGCATGTGTAGAGACTTTTGAGCCTCATACGCCCGTTAGCATATCTTGGTATTGAGAGAGAGAAGGTAGTTAACAAATAGTATAAAGAGAAGTAATTCACTACTTGCATGACGGCATCGAGATGAGAGGTACTAGGTCTTGAATACTTCTTGAGGTCGAGTTCCTGGGTCGAGAGCAAGGGAACTCATTACCAATTATTGCTTGTCTATGAGTTTATAGTTGGATGCATGGGAAACAAAGCATGAGTAGTTAATTTGGACACTTACCTATGAAACGAAGTAATACCCTGCTTTTCTCTCCATATTCACAACCCTTATTTTATCTTGCTTGC